CACATAATTATTGGTTTATACATATGAGTAAGCTGCGTGCACAGGATTGAACAAAAACTCTCTCTCTCTCTCCCCAGCTGATTGAGGGGCTGTAAAAAAATACGGCCTCAAGAAGAAGTTCTGCTTGCCGCTTCAAGGGGAGGGGATCCCCATCTGAAAGGGGCCCTGAATTTTGGCCACCCCCTTCTTGATAGAATCGCCTTCCGTCTTCTGGAGATCTAAGTGAGCAAGTGCGTTTTGCGAGGCTACTCGTTTTGGGCGGTGGTTTGAAGGGAAAACAAAAGAAACACCACCCTTTCAGGGGTATCCACATCGTATCACGTACCCAATGCCAAAGGATTCCTAGTTGTGGGGGGTCCGTATATTCCCCTCAAGACGTCGCCCCAGATATGGGGCAAGGGGTGAAAGATGGCACGATTCGTTGCAGGGGTGGTTAAACTTGCTGGTTCTCAGGGAATCCTCGGGAGTGAGGGAATGAACCCAAACCATCCCCTATGGTTTCCTGAAAGGGAATCCCCAGGTTCACTCCCGACATGCATCATTCCCTATCGCACCAGCAAGTAAACCAGAATGGTTGAATTGTGCAAGCCATTGCAGAAGAACAAAACTGCCGAAGAGCCACTGAAACAAAGAAATAAGCACAGCCCCCTTCGACGGGACCAAGAAGAGTTTCCCTTGTTCCAACTCTTCTGGTCCATTCGACTTTGTTTCGACTCTTCGGTTCTTGGTTTCTTGGATTTCTTTGCTTCTTCGACTCCCCAATTCAATAATTCATCTATGGTCCAATGATGTCCAGTGGATTGTGGCTTGTTCGGTTCTTCCATGCTTCGAGCCTTGAAATCTGCGAGTCGATTCCATACTGATCCTTTTGGTGACTCTTCGGGTCCGGCATTCAATTCTGCAACTCGGGATCTCGGCTCTGACGTTCTTATGTATTTGCTTCACCGGTGGTTGCTGGCACAACCACATTCAATTCACTAACACCACAAGAGTTGCAGGGACGTGGCGGAGCTTGAAGGTTGAGCTTCATCGATGAAGGCCGGCTTTTTGTACCCCAATTCTTAGATTCTCTACCATGGGGTCTGCATCTCCTCAATTCTTTGATTTCTCCACTCTTGACTCTTTTGTCTCTTGGTTGTTCAACACTCACCTGTCGAAGCCTTGTTGCACTTGCAAATGACCTCATACGATTTGGTCGCCAAATATTGGTTGGCTTGCATGCACTTGCGCGTGCAATACGCTCTGCTTCACGCGATGGCCATACTTGTAGGTGACATGCGCATTCGGATAAGGCAACAGCTGGACGCCAAAACCCACAGAATCCACCTGCCGGCAACAAAAGCATAGATGGGGGGTAGGTGTGACTAGGTTTGACTAGGTTTGAAGGATTGGCTGTGTCCAGGTGATAGCAGACGAGATGCAAATATCACTCTTGCTGGAATAGTTGTCGCGCTCCTTTGCACGAGCAAACATCTTGGATGTATTGTTTCTCCTAGACAAAGGCATCGCCATTTGGCTACAATTTGAGGCCTCTAGATATCAATATATGAAGAAACATCACAAATATTAATAGTGGTTCCAATCTATTGTTTAGTCTGAGCTGCTTCACAGGGCTATAATCCTTCTCCAAGGCTTGCACCAAGTCCGCTTCTTGGATCCTTACCCAAAGTGGTTGAGCTACTGTCGCTTTCTGCCGTTGCCTCAAACTCCAGACAAAAGGCTTGTGAGCCATCGGAGAGCAGCTCAACCATCACCACAGCAGCCTGCGCGGAGAATGAGGGAAAGAGAAAGGCGCGACAGGGGTGGGCTGGGCATCATGGTTGGGATTGAGCCGCTGCTTAGGTATATATGTAAGTCTATGTCCGAGGGTACCTGCTTGGTTGAAAGGGAAACCAAAACGAAACCAACCACTTTGTGGGTTCCCCTATTTTGATACATACCCACATGTTTGAACAATAATTGTTGAAACCGCCTCCTGTTGGTTTCCCTTTGAAGCCGGGGTCTGATGGTTGAAACACACTTTGCCCGAGACCGATCATGAGATCCGGCGGAATGACCAGGGAATCGGCTTGCTCCGTCACAATCCGGCGCGCCTGTGATGCCATTTGGGCCGTGTCTTCATGGAAGTTCAAGGGAAACCAACCAAAAGGAAAAAGGAAAATGAAGGAAAAGGGGAGTTGTTGTTTCTGGCATTTCAAGGGAAACCAAAAGGACAAAACCTCTGCGCCATTTTGGGGCTCCAACTCCGTGCAAGGATGGTCCAGCTTTACTTGCCGAGGTATAGAAAGTTGGCCCCATAAGCGAAAATCCTTGGAGGACCTACCCCAAAGGATAGCCTTGGCCAAGGCAAGCTGAACGAGGCTCAGAAACCCATGTTGCGTATTCCTTCTCCTCGTTTTGCCGGTTGCAGCTCCCTTTCTTTCCGGGGCACAATTGGAACCCGCGCGATGCCTCTACCATAAGCTAGGTTGCTTCCCAACTCCCCCCTTTGGATGGCTTAAAAGGGCGAGCCATACAAAGTATCCCTTTGGGATCCATGGATGCTGGGGCCACCTTCTATTTGCGGGGGCGAAGCATGGTTGTCATGTACCCCGAAAAACGTGTTCCTAGTCCACACACCGATGCCGCCCAACCGGTAGGTCGCCACGAGGCTATGGCTTTCCAGTGGAATGGAAAAAAATGCAGTCGTGCCCCCGGCAGGGCTGTTGCCCCAAAGAAACCTGTTGTCAAAACAATTGCCCTCTTCCCATGTTTTACTAAACAGCTGTTGCAACTGTGTTGTTGGATTCTTGGGCAACCCCCGACACCGGCCTGTCTAAAACCATTCAACTTGTTGAGGCCTTACTATACCTGTCGGCCCAACCAGGCTCTCACCTGCTGCATTTGTCCACCCAGGCGGATCATCCACTCCCCGTGCTCCACGTCATCCTCGATGCAGATCCGAGCCTGCAACGAGAGATCAAGGGCAACACATGATAAGGAAATGTCCGAGTATTTGTTGGCTTGCTCTCAACACGTGCGTGTGTAAGCCAGTGTATGTGCCAAAATATGCACAAATGTATCCCTTGCGGGCTCCATGCCTTCCCTGTAACTCGATAGGCCTTCGTTCAAGGTCCCGGTCAACATCGACCGTCTTCTGGATTGAAGGGGGATGAAATGGTTTGCCGGGTGAAGAACACAGGGATCCCGTTCTAGAACCGTGGTGCTGTTTTGTGCGCCTTACACATGAGTCCAACAAGGGATCCGTAATTTTGACACTTTGTGTGTTCATTAAGCTATGTTCAAAGGATTGGGTTGCAGCTTTGCAGGTGACACTAACATGTGTGTGTGTGTGTGTCTGTGTGCTCCGCAAGCCCGCCCTTTGGTACTTGGGTGGTCATTAAGGCTTTCAACGTGGAAATCATGTCTGGTGGAGTTTGAGGGTGTGTTTTCCAAAGCATGCTAGGTTGCTCTTCGAGCACTCCATTACAAGATTGGAAACCTGGCTTGTAGCCCACTCAAGAGTTCCCCAACAGAAGTTACACCTATGTTACACCAGTCGTAAGCGGGTTGTAAGTTGTTTGTGACTAGCCATTTGCTTTGGGCCCCTTTTTTCAAGGGAACAAAAAATAACACAAGCAAAGGTGGTATCCCGAACAGCAAACCCGGAGCCTTTGTGGAAACCTAGCCCACTAGCAAATCCTCACATGGCCAAAACACGGGCGCTTTGGCCATATTTAGTTGAAGGAGGCATTAAGCATCATCTTCTGGATTGATCAAAACTTGAATTGCTCATCATCCAATGGTCCTTGACACATTGCATGTCGTCCATGGCTCAAACAACGTGTGAACCACCCCGCCCCCTGCGAAAACGGGAGAAAATACCAAAAAGCCGCCCCGCGCATGGTCGGGACCATGCGGAACCGAAGGCAAGGCTTGCCTTCGACTCAATCCACCCGTGCCTCATTCTGCAAAAAGATGAGGTACGTGGCGATCCTCAAGGAAACCGCGGAAAACACCTCCAAACGGCCATTGGTGCACGTTTTGGCTGTCCCGTCGATCCGACACACGGAGCTCCTCAACCAGGGGCTTCGAGAAATCACGAAGCTTCCGAAGCGCCCCCATCCCACCAACCACGAACCGAAATCGTCCTGGCGAGGGTGTTCTCCACGCTTTGGTGAAACATGAAGCACAGCGCCCTTGCCACCGCCTCCCACTCGAAGTGCGTCAGCGACCGGAACCTGAAGCGTCCAACTCAACGGGGGGTCCCTCTGCCTGAAATGAGTGTGTGTGTGTGTGTGTGTGTGCGCCGGTGGAACCCCACATCTTGCAGCAGGGGGCTCTCGGAGCCTGCACGGGATGAGAGCCAATGAACAGCTGTTGCTTCTTTTCCATCCTCGAAGCCACTCGACTCGATCACACTCGAACTTCACTGGCACCTTTTTGTGGGGTCTGTGTGCGCGTGTGCTTGTCAGCTTGCTGTAAAATGGGGCCCGACCAAAATGCCCAAAGAACTGGAGTGAACTGGAGGTCCGTGAACTGGAGTGGGTCCTTGTCTCCCCCCGGGCCTCAGGAGTCCCTCGGCTTTCGTTTGGGGCAGTGGGGGACGGGCTGAAGCCTGTGATTGTATGTCCCCCCCCCGGACCCTCTTCGGGGTTCAAACGTGTCCTTGCCCCAAAACAAAGACTCCCCTAAGATCATGTGGTGGTCTCTATGTCTATTCATCCCATTTTTGGGACTGCTCCAAAAGAGAACAAAAATGACACCGCCGATGCTTAGGTCGGTCACCCATTTTGAGGCAACCCATGCGTTCTTGGGTTTTCTTGAAGACTGGGCCGGTCTTGGAAAGCCTGGCTTCTCGCGAAACACAAGGCGGGATGGCGCTCGGGGCTTCCGGGCTTCCGGCTTGGTTCCATGGTGGAAACCGCCGAAAAGTTGAAGTCCAGATTGCCGGGAGGGGTGAGTAAACAAGGTGGTGTGGCAAATGAAGAGCACGGACACCACCATAGCAGCTGTGAAGGGTACCTCTGAAAAACGCAGCTTCGGCCCGGTGCCAAAACCTCTTTGGGCGGAACCCTCGTTGAGCCTCAGCCGAAAAATTATGGCGGCTCAAAGGCGCCTCGGGTATGTTTTGGACTCGGTAAAGGAGTCTTCGAACTCGAAGAGGACCACCTAAGTCATACGCACCAACGGTCGAGATTGTTTGCAGCCATAAAGCAGTTTTTTTTTTTTTTATTCTTCGGGGGGTCAACGTCAGAAGGGATTCCTTTGTCACTGAGAGGGAGGAAAAGAACCAGTTGCTTTCAAACGTCGCCGTCCTTCCGTGAAAACCAGCGCCCTCCCCGAATTGGCTCTCAGTCGATGTGTTGGAAAGGGTTGCATTCGAAGCTTGTGAGGGGAATGGAACGGCTCCCTCCTTTGGGGGCTCCGTTGGCTTTCCCTAAAAGGCCAAAAGGGCTCCTTAAAAGGCACGCCCATGGCATACGCCGAAGCACCGGGGTTGGAGAGAAGCTACAAAAGCTGACAGAACCCTTGTGGTCGTGTTGCTTGCCAGAACCTGTCGGGCCTGAGTGCGCTTGGCAGTCCAGATCAAATTGCCCATCTCGTCTCAACTCCGAAAATGCGCTGACGTGGCATGGCCCCAAAAAGAGCAAGCCCCACCGAAGCAAGAAATGACCATCTCTATTGACCCCGTGCGAATTTGCTTTCCCTAGACTCCCAATGCCAACTTGTTTGGCGTGCTGTCAACCCCAAAAAGGAGAATTCACCTTGAAAAGCCTCAGGATTTCAAAATACCAGAGAAAAAGTGCGGGGCATGTTGATCGCCTGTCCAGTGATTGTCATCTTGAGATGGGCTTCATTTCCTTGAAGGGAGGATGGCGACTCAACTGCATTCGCGCCGCCGCGTGCATGAAGGACTTGCGGTTTGTGGCGACATCCACCGGGTCCTGGACATCGTCTTCGTCATCTCCAACAGCCTTCGCCTGCAGTTTTGCGCGGTTGCTTGTCGCAACTCTCTGAACTTTTTTTTGACCACTAAAATGGTCACCCCAAAAAGCACGAAAGTCCAGAAACTGGGCAGGTGACTTGTAGTGTTCGCGGTCGTTTTGTTTGCAATCTGCAGATCTACGGCCTTGTCATTCATCAGGGCTGGAGAGGAAAGAGTTGCTCAAGGCAGCTTTGATATCAGGACAAAAAAGGCTTCGGAGATCGTACCCTTCCGCCTTGAAAAGTCTCAAGCCCGAACTCTTTGGGGCGGAGGGTTGGGGGGTCGGGTCTCTGAGTGCGCAATCAAGCAGTCAAGACACATGGAACCAAAACAAAACGCTCTCGGGTGGAAAAATACCCTTCACAGGAGTCATGATGTTCCCCATCCAATCACGCCATTGAAGTTGGAAAGTATTCAAAACAGACAGCATGAAACAACGTGTGATGCGTCAAGAAACCTATGAGGACATTCAATGGAACATTGACCAGCTGCGTGCACTCGCCAACCAGCTCAAAGCTCAATCTGTTCATGTTGGGATTCTCCAAGCTCAACCGGTTCATGTTGGTCGCAAGGAGGCCAACAGGATCCAGTTTGCTTGACTAAGCATCTCGGCACATGTGGAGTATGCCAGCGTAGTCCCTCAGCTTGAGAGTTAGGCCGCTGCGTGTTTGACTTAGGCTGCACAACATGGTCGGGAACTATGCGTCCAACCGGAACCCTCCTCGGAACCCTAGCTCGGAGCTGGCCCGCACCATCCTGCAGTTTATCTGGGCAGCATTCAGCTGTTGGGGGATAAGAAAACCAGCGTTTGAACATTTTATACGCCATTGCACCATGGTTGGGCGGGGTGGTTGGAAGAAGTGGCAGGCTTCTTAGGACAAACACAAGACAGGGTTGTGGAAACTCGCCGCAGGAATCCCATTCCCATTGTATCACACAGGGGATCCACCCAGAGTTCTTGCAGAGTCGATGTTCTGTGCAGGCACAAACGTTGAGGCTTGGTTTGGCCTTCTTTGACCCCGACGCCTTTCAAGACTAGGCTCCGGGAGCCAAAAAGGAGATTGGAGTCGTGCGCACTTTCCTTGCCCTCCCCCACACACTGCGCTAGCGGCTTCCTTCCTTGAACCGTCATTCTCAAAAACGCCATCGCCCTTGTCCATGTTTTCTGGTGGTCTGGAAAGAAGGAGCCACATAGGAGAATTAATTACACGAACTTCTCCTGGGAAAGCTGATTGGTTTAGAAAGGAGGGTAGGTTTCGAGGAAAAAGCCATGCAAGTTTCGAGCTGCCCGTTTCTTCTTTTGCTCAAACATTCCGCGCCTCTGCAACGGCGAAAACCTTGCCGCGGTCGGACAAGTCCTGGCCCGGGCTCGAGTCGTGGCTGGGGAAACCATTCCGTGGTTTGCAGCGGGAGACCAAAAGGTCCAATACGGTCACTAAAGTAAGCCCAATTAGAACCGCCTAAACCTAAACACAACTCAGCTTCCGTTGTTTTCCAAGAGAAGTGAAGAGAAGCTACAAATGGAATTCCAGGGGAGCGAGTTTGCCGTATGCAAATTCACAAAAGTGGCTGGGGATGCAAAACACACGACGCATTGGAGAAATCTGCAGGGGATGATTCATGGGAAGTAGCCATTTCTTCATGTTCCAAGTCTCCTGCCACTCGATGTTGTTGCGCATGTTCGGGAGGGGACCTTTCTTGGCCACGTGGTTCGCCACCTTCTTGTAGGCATAGAGCCACCTGTCAGGGCTTGCTTCTTGCACGACATGGTGTCGCAAGCAGACATTGGCGAGAATCTCCGACATCCGGCGGGCAAAACTCGTTCCTTGGAACTTCCCCCCGGCCAAGCCGCCCGGGACTTGACATGGTTGTCAAGGAAGGAGGAAGGAAGGAAGGAAGGAAGGAAGGAAGGAAGGAAGGAAGGAAGGAAGGAAGGAAGGAAGGAAGGAAGGAAGGAAGGAAGGAAGGAAGGAAGGAAGGAAGGAAGGAAGGAAAGGAAAGGAAAGGAAAGGAAAGGAAAGGAAAGGAAAGGAAAGGAAAGGAAAGGAAAGGAAAGGAAAGAAAGGAAGGAAGGAAGGAAGGAAGGAGGGAAAGGAAAGAAAGGAAGGAAGGAAGGAAGGAAGGAAAGGAAAGGAAAGGAAAGGAAAGGAAAGGAAAGGAAAGGAAAGGAAAGGAAAGGAAAGGAAAGGGAAGGGAAGGGAAGGGAAGGGAAGGAAGGAAGGAGGGAGGAAGGGAGGAAGGAAGGAAGGAAGGAAGGAAGGAAGGAAGGAGGAAAGGAAGAAAGGAAGAAAGGAAGAAAGGAAGAAAGGAAGAAGGGAAGAAAGGAAGAAAGGAAGAAAGGAAGAAGGGAAGAAAGGAAGAAAGGAAGAAAGGAAGAAAGGAAGAAGGGAAGAAAGGAAGAAAGGGAAGGAAGAAAGGGAAGGAAGAAAGGGAAGGAAGAAAGGGAAGGAACAAAATGGAAAGCAGGCATTGCGAGGAAACACCTCGGCGTTGTCTCTCCGAGTTGCTTAGCGATCTCCTCGTAATGCTCGTCATCATCCAGATCTGGCTCCCGCAGCAGGTGGAAGAGGCCACTCTGCAGGATCCGTTTGACCCACTCGAGATCCTTGCAAGTGGCCCCTCCACTGGGCAAAAGGCAACTTTGAGGGGCACATGGCTGTGGGTCAAAACCAATGGTACCATTTTGGGGTTGGGGGGTTGGGGGGTTGGGGGGGGGGGGGGTCCCCTTCTTAAAGCTCCCAACCAGTGGACGAGACCCGCTTTGGCCGCCCCAAAAGGAACGCTGTGACAAGTGGCAACTGCATGGTGCGAGCAGACTGGCAGCCAATGCAACAGCAAACGTGGAGGTTTGGCACATTGGTCTGCCAGTACTTGAACTTCCCCCTCTGCTGTCGGGATTGAGCCAAACTGATTGCAAAGGGATTGGCAAAATGCGTCTGCATCGCCTGGCCTTGAGCTCACTTGCTGCTCTTTCATCTTAATCTGCATTGGCAAAGTCAATTGCTTCGGCTGGGATACGGTGGATGGACGAAATCCTGCGCCACCGAAGAAGCTCTGAAATGTTGATTCCCCTGCAAGTACCAACAAACAGCTGTTTTTGGGGGTTTCTTAGGTGGTGCGGTATGTTGTCCATCCACCGTAGCTCGAGGCAAAGCAATGGAAACAAACTCCCCCTTGGGGAAATCAAACACGTGGGCTAGTTCGCATCCATTCGGAAGTCCCCAATCAGCCAGTTTTCAAGGCATCCAATCACAACAGGCAAATAGAACGACAAATTGAGATGGGTCGAAATCCACCCTCCCCAATTCCAAGTAGGTCCAAATAGACAGATTGAAAGTTGGATTGGAAGAACATGCTCACATGCTTGGCGATGAAGGGGAACGCCCTTCACCTTAAGGCCTGCTTGAATGTTCCCCAACCCTTAAACCTAAAACCCTAACCCTCAACACCAAACCAGGTCAACTCGTGTGAGCATATGGGGAGGGTCCAAAGGCTCCGAAAAAGGTGCCGTGTGTAACTGCTCAAAAACGGGTCTCCAATCTTGGGAAACACCATGTTTTGTGGATCTAAAGGGAAGCCAAAAGCAAACCCACCATTTTGGGGGTCCTCCAAAAAACAGACACTCCAAATAGTTACAACTAGGGGCTCAGTGGCTCAGAGGGGTTCAAACTGGCTGCCTCCTTGGCATCAAACTCGGGCTTCGCGAATAGTTCATCTACCTGAGCAACGAGCAGACCGCCAAGCGGCAAGCAAATGTTCCGCAACAGGAACTTGAACCACAACTCTCAGGTTGAACGGAGGGCTGTTGGGATGGGATTTAAAAAAAAATGAACCCCAAACAAACCACCGCTGGGCTCCACACCAACCCCTTGGCCACACTTGCTTGGTGCGGAGAAAAAAAAAAGGGCTGCTTGAGGTGTCCAACACCACGGCAACCTGCGGTTCACGGCACAAAACCCCACAAACAAGAAATACGTGATCTCCCTTGACCTTCATCACAGGGCACGGGAATTGCGTGTCATTCAAAAGGATGGATACTCAACGCACTAAACGAGTAGGTTGTTGCAAGATAACTGGGGTTAGTTCCATTCATGGTTACCGACTGACCCCCTACAAAACCCCCTTCAAAAACTTGGTTCTTTCCAAAAGAAGACTCTTTCCTCCCAAATTGATTGGTGCCCATATTATTTTAGAGTCCCAGACTGCGTCGAACCTGGCACATTGTCTCAATACCGCGCCTCACGCAGCTTTGACGCCGTGTCCGACTTCGGCTCTGGCGCCGGGGTTTCCTGAGGTCAAACTGGGACGCATCCCCCCCTCCCCCCCATTCCCAACAACCTCAGACCCAGACCCTCCGGAAGCTTCCTGAAAGCTGCCCCGAACCACTCCGGAACTTGTTGAAGCAGAAACCCCATAGCTTTCAGCTCTTGGAGAAGAAATATCGAGGTGGTTGCTTCCTGTATGGGAACTCCCCCCGCCAAACAACAACTCCAAAGTGTTGTTGCAACCCTCCATGGAATCCGTTTCAAGGGAAGGGGTTTGGATTTGTGAACAACGAATGGGTTTGTCTCATGAGGGAAAAACTGTTGCCTGGCTTCCTCACCCCAAAAAGCCCAAAGGACCAACTTGGGCCTGCGATTCGATCACCGGAGCGAAACGACTGAGAGGTAAGCGTATTAAAACACCCAGTGCTAGTCAGTACTTGAGACCCCCCCCATGCGCTCAGGGCAAGCTGAACCATGACAAAAGCTTCACCGGCTCGCTTCAGAGGGGCTGGAGGCAGCATGGATTCAAGCCGCGCAACAATGGCTCCAGTGATTCCAAGTGCACCGTCCCACTGAGCTCTATTGTGCCCCTTGTGAGAATCGCGATGCAATCCTCCCAAAACCAACCATGCCACAAAGCCCAAAAGCTTGGCAGGTGGGCTGAAGCACTGGCTGCTGGATGTATTTGCAGGCTTTCCAGCCTGCGCCCCTGTGTGCTTTGAACAAATATCCACATCGCCAGCATCACCAGTCTGCGTCGTGTTCACATTTGGCCATGTTTTTTCCGGGCGTAGAAACAGCCAGCTTGAAAAACACTCAGCAGTATTGAAAAATGCTCTACACTCGCATCGCCAGCATCAGTCTGTCGCCATCGCTTATTCGCGTCGCTTTCTCGGGGGAAGCTCGCTACAGGATTCGAGCCAGGACGGCCTGCAGCTCTCGCAGCCGAATTCCGACGCGGGCTTGTAGCATCTAAAAATTTCCAAGGAACGAAACACTAAGAACTCGCCGCGGATTTCCTGGCGTGCTCCCTAAGCAAATGTGTCTCGCCCGGGGGAAAGACATCCGAAACGCTTGGTCCCGGCCTCAGAGCTGGGCGTCTTCTCCTCGCCAGAGCTGGCCTTGGTGTCCTGTCGATGCGAGAGCCCGGGTAATGTTGACCGCAGATTGACAAACAATCCTGCCTATTACTATTGGGGTGGGGGCCCCTCCATCCCCACTAAAACCAGGGACACCCCCCCATGTTAATGAGCAGGGGTTTATTCGGGGTCAACATGAAAAACACAGATCCCTGGCAAACAAGTCACTCCTCCGACAGCCGCTCGGTGTCCGCTATGTTTAGTACCACATCCGCATCCGCGGAGTCGGTCTGTGGCTCAACCCCCTCCGCATCAGGTTTCTGATCCTCGGTGGTCGTTTGCCTGGTCGCGAGGCAACGACCCCACGGAAACCGCCCCGCGGGTTGCCTCAAGTATCATTCATGTCAGAAAAGAGAGCCCTTTTTCTGATTTCTCCAAAGGTAATGTTTGAACCACCCAAAAAGCATGTCATGTTTCATGAAACTCCCCGCAGCGCCTCCCCAAACACTAGGAGTGATATACCTCCAGAGCCAATAGGCGCCCAGTGCCACCACCTAAAGCACAATAAATACAAGGGGCTTCAAAAGGAAGAGTAAACTACCTCTGGCTCTCTGTATAGACCCCCCCCTGTGGATGCACAAAATCCTGCACCACTTGGTGGCATACGGGTTCATCCATCCTGCATATTTGTTGTAAATCGCTACGCGGTCCATGATCCCTCAAGGGTGTTCCACAAAATCCTTCCGTGCGGCCAACCCGAAGGGGCTCTGACCGGATGCCGAAAGTCAAAGGTTGAATGTGTCCGTTCAAAGCGCCAGGAATGGCAACGCAAACCTGGGCAGCTACCGGCTGTGCGCTTTTGTTGAGGTAACCCTTTTGGGGTTGGTTTCAGGTACACCAAAAAGAAAGCATCACTTTGGGGGGGGGGCTTCCACAAGGAGATCAAATTGGCGTGGGGGCCATTTTCCGGAAATTAGACATGGTTTTCATTTGGGGATTTTCACAAAATGGCCAAAACGGCCTATTTTTGCATAAAATAGGAAGGTTCCCCCAAGTGCCCCAAGTCTGCGACCCGAGTTCGGCTCTCGCCTCTTGGACTTCTTCGGAAGCTTCTTCGGCGGCATGGCGCCGGCCGAAGTGTTTCACGCGGCCCAGGCCGGGTTTCCCGCCCTGAACCAAAACATGGCT